AGTATAAGTGATTCTTTTGATAAAAAACAATATGTTCTGGGGATCTTTATAGACCTGTCAAAAGCCTTTGACACAGTAAATCATAATATCTTACTTAAAAAAATGGAAAGCTATGGAGTAAAAAACATCACTCTTGACTGGTTCAAAAACTACCTAAGCAATAGGCAACAATGTGTTATTTCAGACAATTATAAACACTCAAAACTACTAAGTATAGAGTGCGGTGTCCCCCAAGGTTCCATTCTTGGACCCCTTCTGTTTCTTCTATATATTAACAACCTTACAAAAACCTTGAAAAAACTTGATGTTATAGTGTTTGCCGACGACACAAATTTATTTTATTCCTCGAACTCAATCAAAAACCTTAATGAATGTATGAACAAAGAGCTTGAAAAATTAAACATCTGGTTGAAATTAAATAAGTTATCACTAAATTCAGAAAAAACAAAATATATATTGTTTCATTCCAAAAAACAAAAAAATAATATACCAACTATACTTCCCCCACTAAAAATAGATAAGGTAAACATTAAAAGAACAGAAACAACAAAATTTCTTGGGATACTTATTGACGAAAATATAACTTGGAGAGCCCATATTAGTACAATAAACACTAAAATTTCAAAAAATATTGGGATACTTTACAAAGTTAAACCTATGTTGTCCCAAGATAATCTTAAATCTCTTTATTTTTCTTACATCTAAAGTTATCTTACGTACGCTAATATTGCATGGGCAAGTACACACAAATCCAAGTTAAATACTCTTTATTTAAGTCAAAAACATGCATCAAGATTAGTTTATAATAAATATAAACTCACCCATGCTGAACCTTTACTAAAAACCCTAAATGCACTGAATGTTTACCAAATCAACATCTATCAAAATATTCTTTTCATGCTTAAATACAATCTTGGACTAGTCCCATCGCATTTTTTAGATAACTTTTTTCAAATTAACTCTAATAGATATACCACAAGAGCATCAGGGAACTTCACATTACCAAAAAAAACAACAAAGTTCTCACGATTCTCTATTTCCTACCGGGGTCCGTACCTATATAACAAAATAATATCCGAAAATATAGAACTTAAAGCATTAAATAATTCTGCCACCTTGAAAAAAAAATTAAAACACCTCATACTTAATATCAAAAATTTTATTGACATGTATTAAACTTAACAACAAGATTTATACTAAAATGTTTATGTGTATCACTGACTGTGTATTGTTTAACCACTTTTAACTATATATAAAAATTAATTAAATTTATCTAACCACTTGAAAAGGTACTTGATGATAAGACTTCATAGTCTTCTGCGAGTCTCCTTTACAACAACATGTTTATATTTAAAGAAACAATAGTTTTTATTTAAAAAAAAAAACAGTGTTTATTAATCTAACGTTATATTTTATTATAATTGTTAAATTACGTATTCTTATGTTATGTTATATATTTTACTCTTTGCATTAAATTATATGATAGAATTGTAACGTAATGAAGTGTATATTGAAGTTGTAAAAAAAAAAAAAAAAAAAAATTTTTTGAAAATATTTTTTTTTAACAGTTACGGTTATGCCTAAAATTAACAAAAGTGAATATTTTAACGATTTTGTGCTCAACAAAGTACTATCCTTTAAAAAAATTTCTTAATATTCTTTATTTTAAAAAAAGTAAATTATAAATGAAAACATTACAATGATCCACATATTGCTTTATATTATATTTTTATACTGATACTATGCTGTTAAATATTTAATGCGCAATTTAATGATCAAAGATTATTGATATCTTTAAAATTAAACTAAAGCATACGATCGTTTAATTTGAAACAATAAATTTCGTGTAAAATTTGTCACTAACACATTATTAAATTACTAGCTGGATTGACCCGTAAAAATACGGGTCTTTGTAATTCTATTCCACACAAACCTTTTCCCTTATTTTTTTAATCTGTCCGTATCATTAAATACAGGTCTTTTCTTCTACTTCTATATTTATTTATTCCACGCCAATCATTTCTTTACTTGTTCCTTATTTACTTCAATATTTTTTAGTAAACGGTGGAAAAAAATTCATCAAAAAAATTTGCTTTGAGAGCAAAAAAAAACTTTAACAAACGCACTTTTTCCGCATACGTATATAGCTTATTAAACCCCGTTTATTTATTTATTTTTTTTTAAATTCTGAACTAAACTACTTCCTACATTTAGACCAGCCATGGAACATGGTTTATGGTCGCGTCCTAGCCATTTTCAATAGTTACTATTTACTATATTTATTATTATTATTATATGCTTAGTTTTGAATAATAACGGTCTTTTATAGTTACCTTTGTATTAGACGGAAATGGTAATGCAATTCTTTAAAACGTTAGTCGCTTAAAGCGTCAAAAGTCATGCAAAAAAATAAATTATAAATTTTGTGGTTTAAAAGTTGAAAAACTAATAATAATATAACAAAAAGTTTGGTAATTTTTAAACGTTATTATTTAGCTCTTACTTATGGTATTTATTTTGTTTTCATTTTACATTTTTAAAAAAATGTTGAAGCGCCTAACTACATGCATAACTTTGATAGCTCACAAGTTAAGTGCGCTGTCATCAGATTTGCTGTGCAAGGCTTCAAATCCGCGCCTAAAAAATCTCAATACATTTTTTTTAATTTTTTTAATCTGGCTATATTTATAGCAAAAAATTAAATATAACAAAAAACCTTTTAATTGCTTTTTTTTTCCCTGCCTCCACTGCAATACCATGTGGAGTAGCATGACGGTTTTATCAAATTTTTCTTTATTAGGTTTTAGGACCTTTTTTTTTAAAACTATCCGTAGCTTATTAGGACCAATTATGAGAGAACAGTATCAAAATCGTGACACACACGCAACAAATTTTCGCCCCGTTTATTGGTGTTTTTAGAAATCAAAAAAAATTTATAAAATTTAAAAAGAAAAAACGGTTAAAGTGTATAACATTTAACTTGTTTAACTTCACAAATATTTTGTAATTTAAAGAAAAAAATCGCTGGTGGTAAATTTGAATCACGACTATTACGTTCAGAAGCTTAGCGCGCTAACCACTCGGCCATGCTGACACATCAAATATCGAAATTTTAAAAATATATAAAAATTGTTTTAAACGGAATTGGTTTTTAATGGAGAGGTTGACGCAATGCAATTTTTAAGTCAAAGTCAAACTATAAAACTTGAAAAATATTTCAGTATGTTTTATCATTACTTAATTACGTACGTTAGATATTTGCATACACGTTTTCTTCTAAAAAAAAGTGCTGCGACTCTTTCTACTAACACTACTATTAAGTTCGGCATTATTATATAGAAGATAGATAGATTATAAAATAGTTTTTCACAAATTCTATTCCACATAATCTATACCTCTATTTCTCCCTCTAATATTTTTTAGTGAACAATAGATTATACGCTAGAAAAAAAAATTCACATATGCACCTTTTCCGTATATTTATATTTAGAGCTTAACATGAAGAAGGTAAATCATTTAGTTCAAGACAACTTGCCCAAACCTAAATACTCTGTTGATTTATGCACACTCACTGTGGCTAGGCCTGTAAAATAAGTAGCTAGGCAAGTCAAATAAATTAACTTGATCTGTTTTTCTGCATAAAACAAAAACAGAAAATGTGAAGTACTTGATAAAAGGAACTGTAATATTGGATTTAGTTAATTCAATACAAAGTGATAGGAAACTGCAAAATAAAGTAACAATGTGAAAATTATTCAAATACTAATTTACAACAATTTGTATTGCGTTTTATTAAAATAGCTTTATTAAATGGTATGAAGATTAATGATTCTTCTTCTTCGCCTTTAGAAAATGATTAACGATTTGAAAGACTTTTAAATTGATTATAAAAGCATTATCTAAAAATGAAATAAAATCATTATTGATAACACTGAATGCACATTTATTTGTTTAATGTTAATTCATTTGAAAAATGAAAAATACGAAACGAAATTTAGTAATATTAAATAAATATTAGACACTTACTTTGTGAGAGTGCTTTTGTAAAAGTCTCTAATATTTGGTTGGAAGGCTGGAAATACTCTTTTTTTTAAAAAATTCAGTTTTATCACCATTGCTAAAGATAAAAATTCTTACTGACACAAAAAAATTAGGCATTTTTTCTTAAAATATTTCTTGGCTTTTAGTGAATGATTAGGAGTAAGTTTCAGTAATGAAGCTACCCAATAATCATTTTTAACGATAGACACCAACGTGAAGGTAAGCCAAGCTGTCTATCAACACAAAACATCACAACAACATTACAGGATGACAAACAATAACACCAGTAGTGTAGGCAGGATTTTTGTTGTTTCAGATATATATTTAGAAGCTGTTGAAGAGTTTAACTTTGTTATGTTTAAAAAAATTCAGGTTAGGAAAAACACTTTTTTTAAACATTTGTTCCTAAGCTTTAACAACATCAATTTTTTGCAAAGTATTTTAATTCTATAAACGTGAATACACTTAAGTTTGGTTGAAAGTGTTATCTGAAGCATCAAAAGACCCTGCCTATGATACTGAATACACATAGCATCAAATATTTGTACATAACACATTTGCACATAACACAAAATATTCAGATTATGTGTTTCCAGAATAATTAAAAAAGCTAGACAACACAACCTAGCTCAACACTTGTAACACCGCTTGGCACTAAACGCTGCCAAGTAACACCACAATTTAGTAACACCGCTTGGCATTAAGTGCCAAGTAACACCACTAATTAGTAACACCGCTTGGCTAGCAAGAATCACAATCTTGCACTACACGTTGCCAAGTAACACCACTTTTCACATGGAAACAACTTAATATAAACTTGTATAAACTTAAGCACATAAATATAAATAAAGATATATAAACGCATATAAACACATACATTTATATACACATATAGCAAAAAAAAAAAAAAACATACAAAAAATATAAAACACATATAACACATAATATACTTGTCAAAATTATAAATTAAGAACATTTGTAAAGGCAACATTATTTGTGTAATGTTTGTTAAATGACATACCTTGTAATGGATGTTTATCAACTTTGAAAAACAAACTATTAAATGATCTTGTTCTTGAACATGCAACATATAATTGGCCGTGTGAAAAGCAAGGCTTTTTAAGATAAACACCAACTTTTTCAAATGTTTGACCTTGACTTTTATTTATGGTCATTGAGTATGCTAACCTAACTGGAAACTGACGGCGTTTAAGTGTAAAAGGTAAATTTGCATCTGATGGAGCTAATTGAACTCGAGGAACAAATACCCTGTTACCAGCTGATACACCTGTTAAAACCTCACCATCAATATAATTGTTGTGTAATGCACGCACCATCAAACGGGTTCCATTACAAAGTCCACCTTTGAGATCTAAATTTCTAAGTAGCATTATAACAGCACCAATTTTTAATTTTAGGCAATGAACAGGCATACCTGATGGAGTCAAACTATTTAAAAACTCGACTGGAAAGTTATTAATTTCATTAAGATTATCAGTATCAATGCTATCTGAACTTAAATATGTTTTCACATCACCGGGTAAACGATGAAGGACTTCTTCATTTATTGCCAATGAATCAACATTTGTTGGCGTTAAAATAGCACGTTTTGCATAGTCAGCTTCTTCTGCACCACCGAAAATCTTCTCCACAATAGATTCATTATCACTGAGAAAGCACTGCTCAGGTATTTCAATGCACCCTCGCAAAGGATCTTTAGGCTTGACAGGTAATGTTCCACTTCCAAGCTTTAAAAGCCATTGAGAAAATTCCTCTTCTTCTATCTGAACCCTCATATTTACAGTTAATGAGAACCTTTGCACATATTGCCAATGTTCAGAACATTTTAAACATGATTCTATAACTTCTGCTGGTCGACCTCGCTTCACAACTGGAAGTATTTGTCTGAAGTCTCCACCCATAAGAATAACCTTACCACCAAAAGGAAAGTTGTTATTACAAATATCTTGTAATAGCTTATCAATGGCACTCAAAGCATATTTGGGTATCATAGATGCTTCATCAAGTAAATACAAACTGATTTGTCTCAGGAATCTACCATGAATAGAGTTTGGAGTTACATTACATGTGCTAGTTTCCAAAATTGGAACAGGAAGTTTGAATAAGCCATGCATTGTGCACCCATTTTTGAGAAGAGTTGCAGCTATTCCTGTCCATGCAGCTGTTGCAGTTCTAATATGCCTGCTCTGTGTTTCAGAAATTAAATAATTGTAAGTAAATGTTTTACCACAACCGGCAGGCCCATCCATAAAAAACAACCTTGAATGCTCATTTTCATTAGTAGGTTCCACACTTAGTGCAACAAGGATCGCATCAGCTACATTACGTTGATTATCATTCAATAATGGTCTAACTCAGTTTGCTTCATCAATAAACACCTGAACATCTTCATCATCATTTTCTAATGATGATGAAGATGTTGGGACATTATCTAAAAACTGATCTAACGCTGGCAAATTATAATCAGCTAAGGTTTTACCACTCTGATTAATTATAGATTCAATTTGACGAAGAGCTGCCTGCTCAGCAAGTACGACTGGCATTGAATGGTGTATGTAATCCTCAACCATATAATTTTTAAATGTATTCCAAAGGTGTAAAGGATCATCAGGTTCACATAAAGTTAATATGATGGAAAACAGTAGCCTAATTTGTTTAGGCATCCGAGTTGCAGCAGCTTCAGTTAATGTATTTCTCCACTCAATGTCATCTTGCAATAAACCTAAATGATAACATGCTTCACGAAATGTATTAAAAACAGTACCATGAACAGTACGCAAATCCTCAAAAGACTTTGCACCTTTTACATGCAAAAGAAACAATCTGAGAAAAAATAATTCGCAAAATGAACTGACTTTATACATTCGAACAACCACCTTATCACTACCTCTTTGTCTTACTTTCCACATGCAATTTTTACCAAAAACAAAGTGATATGGAACTTCAACATAAGAATACTGACATGCTTCATTATTTTCAGCATTTAATATAAACCAAGCAGTTAGGTGAGTGTCACGCTGTGCTGCACGATCTATAGCTACTTGTTCTTCTCCTTCGTTAAAATATACTCTCTGATTATCAGGAAGGTGGATTTGAAGGCGGATAATAGTATGTGACATATCACTTATGGAATACTCATATATTCGCCAAAGAGCCTCTGGGGCGGAAACAAAGCGACAGTCTAAATATGTGTTAATTTCATCATGGTCAACACTTTCATTAATTACCACATTTGCACAATCATGCCCCTTATAGACATATTTGTATAAATACTTCACTGACTTAATAAACATGCAAGCTTCAACATTAATGTGGGCTTGGTATTTTTTTGATAACCAGGGGTTATAGGGTACGACCCATCGATTATCAACTTGGTTACCTTTTATAATGACTACTCTACCATTATCTAAATGCCTGTAGTTAGGATAACCATTGAAAATTGCAACAGTGCAAGGATTAAACTCTTTAGGAAATTTTTTTGTGCAAACTCCATTTTTCATGCAAGGAGAATTGGGATTTAAAATCCCACATGGTCCATGAATCATACATGTTTTTACAATTTCAAAAAGTTCAGGATCAACAGTTTGATCAGGAATTTCAGCTGATATTAAACTATCAATATCCTCTGCTGTTTCTAGCTTATCATCGTTTACAAAGTGTAATAAAATATGCACATGTGGCAAACCACGTTTTTGAAACTCAATAACCTGTACATGACTTACAACTTTGCTTAAGACTCCATGTTTAAAAATATCACCTAAGAAGCATTTAAGTTTCATCTTAAATACGCGACAAACTAAATCAGGCCGTTCAGTTGCGCTCTCACCTGGATTTAAATTTTCTGTAATTTCTCTCCATTTTGAATTACAGGTAAAAGTAATAAAAAGATCTGGTTTACCATATTTCTTTATAATTGCCATTGCATCTTCAAAATTTTCTTTTAAAGCTCTTGGACTTCCAACATACGAGGATGGTAGTATAACAACACGACCTGGTCTTACATTAAGGTTATTTGCAACATTATTTACATTACATTACATTACTCATGTAATGTATCGTATTGTTCACTTCTAAGTTTGTTTTGGTTATTTCTGATAAAAGCAAGGCGCTGTCCTTCAATCTTGACATATGCATCAACAGCATACTGTTGAAAAAGTTTCTTACCATAAAATATAGGACTGAACGTTTGTCTAATAGAAAGCCTATAATTGTAGTACTGAGACAAAGTAACACGATTTCGAACACGTGTTGCTCGGTCAGGATTGTGCTCTAGTTGATCATGCCATCCTGCATCACCTCTTGGAAAAAATATTGGATATATCATTGGATCTAGATTTGCAGACATACTTGAAATTGTTTTTAAGGGTTGACCTCAAGGATAAATAACAACTTCTCTAGATGGAGGTGGAGCACCATCATTTCCTACAAACACAATGGCAACCTCTTCATGTGATGGAAGATTGTATCGCGTCTATCACAACCCTCAAGCAACGACATTTTGACAACAGAAATCGGTCGACCTTCTATAGCAGCTTGACAAATTTCTGCATCTTCAACTTCTGCCATGTTTTTAAATGCAAGCGCATATGGGTTCTCCTGATTAATTATAGTCTGCAAAAGTTCCATTAACTCACGTATGCAACAATCATTTTGCTCCATTCGAAAGTTTAAAGCAGTATTAGGATCATAAACATATAATTGACAATAAGCAGGTGGATCCCCTTGCTGATGTCTTAGATTACCAATACGATGCATAATTTGCCCACTAATTCTAAAACAGGGTGGACCACGATTTGACGGAGGATCTATTGTGGCTATGAATGAAGCAAAAGATAGACAGGCATTATAATTTCGTATATGCTTGAAAAAATTTTGATTCAAAGCACAATCAACATGGTTGCCTGTCATTAAATCAACCATCAGCGGTGGATAAGGTGAAAGTGGAGGTAAGACAACCTTTCCTGAATGGCAGCACAAAAAATGTGTTTCATTTAAAAAATTTTTAGCACCACAATACTGACAATTATGGTTCATTTCTCCTAGGTAATTACTCTCTATAAAAACATTATTTCTTGCTATGCAATGCATTCCAAGCCTAAATAATACTCGTCTAGCCTCATTTCTTTCATTTTGGCGATGATTAACTTCTTCACGTCTAGCCTCATTCCTTTCATTTTGGCGACGATTAACTTCTTCACGTCTAGCCTCATTCCTTTCATTTTGGCCACGATTAACTTCTTCACGTCTAGCCTCATTCCTTTCATTATTGGCGACGATTAACTTCTTCACGTCTAGCCTCATTCCTTGAATTTTGACGACAATTAATTTCTTCTCACCTAGCCTCATTTCTTTCATTTTGCCGACGATTAATTGCTTCTCGTCTGGCCTCATTTCTCTCATTTTGGCAACAATTAATTTCTTCTCATCTGACCTCATTTCTCTCTATTCGACGATTTCTTCTATTTTCAGCTCTTAAGTTACTTGACATAATTGAGAAATTATTTATGTTTGATAAAACTTTATCTTATTAATTTTTTGCTACACTAATCTAAAATGAACAAAAACAATAAAGTGCTATTTATCAGTTTAAACCTATGAAAGTATGTGTATAGCGTCTAATAAAATCTGTGAACAAAAGATATAACTAAACTGGTTTGAAACAGAGAAAAAGTCAGAAGTATCTTGTAATAACATACTATATTGTAAGTAATAAAACAGTATTTTTTGAAACAAATAAAAAAATTTATTATTTTAAAAGTCATATTAATGGTAATATTAAAAAGCAAAATTAGTTACATATTTTTAAATGACATGCCAACAATTGCAAACATGTTGCATCATATAGACCACATGTGGCTGACAACTGATTTTAAATACTATTTTATAATATATCTAAAGAGAATAATGTAAAGAGATTAATAGGTGTAAAGTGCATATATTAGACATATTAAACAGATATCATAGAAAAAGAAAAACTTTAAATATATTTACCAAATCTTTCAAAAACTATATAACACTTAACAAATAAAAGTTAATACAAAAGAAAATTTAGTATTATTAAAATTAAAAATGAGGATAAAAAGAAGTAAAAACGTAAATTAATAAAAAAACTTTTAGACAAATTATTAAAAACTTTTATAACATAAGAGTTCTTTGTAAGTTTAGGATTTAAAAACAGAATTAAAAATCAAAAAAATAAAATAGTAAAAGTATATAAATTAAAATAATAAAAAATTGCGAAATTAAAAAAAACATTTTTTTAAAAAGTCAATTTTCTTTATAAATAAAAAAGAAGATAATTCTACCAGTAGTTTAAAAAAGCTACCGGTAGAAAATAAAAGAGTTAAACCGCTTTCCAGCACCCCTCCTTCTACCAGTGGTGTCATATGGGGCTTGTCTCCTCCATCTAAAGAAGGGATCATCTCCCCCATATTGACTCCACCGGTAGAAAGCTCTTTGAGATATCAAACCTGGGTGCTGGGAGCGATATCGCAGGAAATCTTGATACGATGCTAAAAAACAAAAACAAAAAAAGAAATAAATTTGAATACAATACTGCACAAAACAACCAATAAAAATATTATTTAAAACTATTTAGACTTCAAAAAAAAAAAAGTTATGACAAAAAAAAGAAATAAATAAAGTAATGTAAAAATAAGGATATGCAATGTTTAAATTTCATATACACCTACACAAATACACATAACACCCACAAAACTGCATAAGTATGCAAAACAGATTACCTGATGGTTCTGCAGATATTGTTGCTATTATGGAAATAAATAAAAAAGTATATGAACTAACACATATATTAAACAGTTATGTAATTGCATACAAACATGAAAAAAGTAATGTTTAGGTTTCAATACACATAACACTGCATAAGTACGAAAAAACTGCATAAGTATGGAAAACACATTACCTGGTGGTACTGCAGTTGATACTGTTGCTATTGCGGAAATAAATGAAAAAGTATATAAACAAACACATATATTAAACACTTATGTTTTTGCATACAAACGCGAAAAAAGTAATGTTTAAGTTCCAATACACATAACACTCATAAAACTGCATAAGCATGCAAAACACATTACCTGATGGTACTGCAGATGATATTGATGCTATTGTGAAAGTAAAAAAAAAAAAAAGTGTATAAAGTAACATATGTTAAACATTTATGTAATTGATAACAAACATGAAAAAAGTAATGTTTAATTTCAATACACATAAAACCCATAAAACTGCCTAAGTATGCAAAACACATTACCTGATGGCACTGCAGATGATATTGATGCTATTGTGAAAGTAAAAAAAAAAAAAGTGTATAAAGTATCATATGTTGAACATTTATGAAATTGCATGAAAACATGAAAAAAAAAATTTAAGTTTCAATACACATAAAACTCATAAAACTGCATAAGTATGCTAAACAGATTACCTGATATTATTGCTTGAGGTGTTAATGTATAGACAAAAAAATAAATAAATAAAGTGATGTGCAAAATAAGATATGCAATCTTTAAGTTTTACATTAAATTACATCATTACCTGATGGTACTGCAGATGATATTGATGCTATTGTGAAAGTAAAAAAAAAAAAAGTGTATAAAGTAACATATGTTATACATTTATGAAATTGTTTACAAACATGAAAAAAGTAATGTTTAAGTTCAATACACATAAAACCCATAAAACTGCATAAGTATGCAAAACACATTACCTGATGGTACTGCAGATGATATTGATGCTATTGTGAAAGTAAAAAAAAAAAGTGTATAAAGTAACATATGTTATACATTTATGTAATTGTTTACAAACATGAAAAAAGTAATGTTTAAGTTCCAATACACATAACACTCATAAAACTGCATAAGTATGCAAAACACATTACCTGATGATACTGCATATGATGACATTGGTGCTATTGTAAAGGTAAAAAAAAAAAGTGTATAAAGTAACATATGTTTAACATTTATGTAATTGCATGAAAACAGTAATGATTAAGTTTAAATACACATAAAACCCATAAAACTGCATAAGTATGCTAAACAGATTACCTGATATTATTGCTTGAGGTGCTAATGTAGAGACAAAAAAATAAGTAAATAAAGTAATCTGTAAATTAAGATATGCTATCTTTAAGTTTTAACACACATAACACTCTTAAAACTGCATAAGAATGCAAAACACATTACCTGATGGTACTGCAGATGACGCTATAGTGGAGGTAAAAAATATATTTACATAAACTAACATATACTAATCAATTAAACAGTTTATTTTAGAGTGATAAAACCGCACACAAACATCAAAAAATGTGTGTTAAAATTAAACAAAAAGAAACATAAGTGTACTTTGCTTACCAATTGAATTTTCTAAATTTTCTAAATAGAATTAAAAAAAACTCATTAACATTAGGAAAGAAACTAACATGCAGAATATTTGTCAACTTTAGGAAATCTATAAATAAAGTTGGAACAAAACAAAAGGCAAAAATAACAATCACAAAACAAAACAAACCAAAAAAGAAAAAAGCGACAAAAAAAATAAAAAATAAAAATAAAGAAACAATCCACAAGAACAATATAGTAACTTACTAAGTTGTTGAAATATAAGCCCTATAAAAAAAAAATGCTAAAAATTGTATCAAAAAAGCTAAAAGACCATAGAATACACCTTTTTTTTTGAAAGTAAAATGCTATATCTTTATCTATAATACACAAATGTAATATAATCAAATTCTGTTTACCCATTGAATGTTCTAATTTTTCTAAATAAAATGAAAAATTTAAACATTAAAATAAACTAACTTGCCAAATATAGAATAACTTTATGTTAAATAAATATGTAATAAAAAAAATAAAGAGCATTACAACAACAATAACAAATTGCTTACTTAGATTCTCAACAGAATCTTCTAATTTGATATAAAACTAATCTAAATTTAAATCTAAATTTAAAAAAATGATATCAAACTAGAAATAAGAGATCATCAGAACACCCTTTATTAAAGGGTGTTCTGATGATCTCTTATTTATAGTTTGATATCATTTTTTTAAATTTGCTAGATATTATGTAAAAAAACAATGTTCAAGTAGGCGTTTAAAGTTACCCTCGCATTTCGGGTAACTTTGAACACTATTAACTGAATGTCAATTTTAATCTTTTAAATCTAAAAAGTTGTTTAAATTTCTTTGTATTAGTTTAAATAAATTTTTTTTAAAAATCTAGTTAAACTATTTCGAAAACAAATAAACAAGTTTTTCAATAAAATATTTCTAGAATAAACAAACAAGTTTTTCAATAAAATATTTCGAGAATAAACAAACAAGTTTTTTTATTTCACAAAATAATTTTTAAGGTTATAAAAGAAAAAATAATTAAGACATTATTTTTATATAATTCTCTACAAATAAACACCATTGACAATAAAACTAAATATCACAGTGTTTCATTCTTTTAGTCTTGAGTTACAACTAACTCTTTTACAAAATAATCATGATCAAGGAAAACATGTACACAGTGATTGTTTATTTGCTCCAATGAAAAAACTGCATCATTTTGAGATACAGGTAAAACTTGTTCATTGTCTTCAATAACTTGATTAACATTTATGATGCTGAAACTTTGTAAAATATTAAGTTTTTTGTTTATTTTCATAACCATATTATTTGACCCAAGTGGTCTTCCTCTTTTCTTTGCTCGAATATTATCTTGACTTTTTTTTTATTGTCTCTTTCCTTATAGTATGCTTCTACCTCAGTGGCTGATACACTTTTCCCTGCTGTTATTGGTAACTTACATTTTTTGCTAACTTCATAATTAAGATGAATATCATCAACATAATTCCTAAACGATTCTCCAATATTGAGTTGAATATCTATATTTGTAAAACTGGGTAATTTGGAGAGAGCTTGTCTGGTTACCAACATTAAGAGAAGATTAAATGAGTTGCGTAAACAAATTTTTTGGCAGGTTATTAACCTTTTTTCCTCTGGATGTTTTACGCCATTGATTAAGAACTGACCTAAAATTAGCTTTTAAACTCGAGAAATATCCAACATCTAAAGGTTGTAAAAGGTGCGTGGAATTGGGTAACAAACATATAAATGTTATATTATGCTTTTCACATTTATTTAAGGCTTTTAAAGATATATGAGCACTTAAATTATCACAAATCAGAATTTTTTTACCTTATTTATAATATTTGGAACAAAGTGATTTAACAGTCACTCTTCAAATATTTGAATTTCCATCCAGCCACTGCAAGAAGTTGCCATTCTTGAAGTTTTTTTTTCCAGGGTCATCATGAAACCCTGTTTCATCCATATTGTAAATGTTATCTAGCGTTACTCCATTTAATTCCTTCTCTAGATTTTGAAAAAATAATTTTATTTGACAATAATTAATCTGTGCACGTTTCCTTGAAATACAATGAGATACTTTTTCTTTTAATGATGGATGCCTGTCAAGATAAAGTTTACACCACTCCCAACCTGGTCGGTTATCTTTAAACTGTTGTATATTTTTTCCACTATCATCCAGATAGATTTTGACAATACTTTTAAAATCATTAATTCCAATTGGTATACCTTTGTCACTTAAATAAAGTAAGTGATTTTCAAAACAAAGTTCCTCATCAATGCTAAGGGCAATAGGGCGTCCTACTGATTTACAGTGTTTACTTTTTAGCTTATAAAATAATGTTGCTTTAGGTACTTTATAAATTTTAGGAGCTTCACCAATCGACATTTTTTCTAATTTAATTTTGGCTAAAGCCTCTTGAAGTGTAGAATTGGTGTAATTAGATTAAGTGCCATATTTTCTTGTGCCAGGATGAGTTGTCGAACATTTTCTTGGCATTTTATGAATGCTAAAAATATTAAGATGATTTATGTTATTAATGAAAATTATTTAATTAATCGCTTATTTGCTATTAATAAAATATATTATTAAATCTATCAAGATAGCGATAAATATCAAAAATTAATATACTAGTAATAGATATTATAATTTTTGATACTTATATCATATATCATTATATAATAAAAATACTATAATAGAAAGATGCCTATTATTTATTATGTATTATTGCAATGTTACTCAGACAGCAAAAAAAGCATTTTTGGAAAACATTGATTGTCTAAAGTTACCCTGAATTTGGTTATATTTTAGCTAAGTGGAAATAAATATCCTTTTTGTAGCAAAAAACATGTTAAATCCTATTATTTTGAGTTTGTATTAAAGTTCGAAAAATAATTCAATAAAATACTTAAAAATCTATTCAGATAATTACAATATAATACCAAATATTCTAAATTGAAAACACACGATGTTATCACCACATTCGACTGTGTAACTGGAAATGGAGGAAAACATTACTTTTGAGAAATAAAATTTAATTTTCTTTGGTCAAACTTTTGTAAAAAAAGATAATTCATCATATTATTCTTTGTTTAAGCAACAGGCAAAGAAAATACCAAAGAAAAAATAATTTAATAACATTTACACATTTAATTCAATGTTACCCGCAAATTCAAAGTTACCCAGAATGACTGTATATTTAGCTATAATTAATATTGTTCGATTTAAAATAAATTATTATTATAAAATATCAAAAATCATTTTAAAAATGGATGAACAGAAAAGTAATTATGAAGAAATGATGCTTGCTGATGTTAGTAACTATTTATCTAAATCTGTTTATCGTCATGACTGCACCCTAAATGATAAGCGGACAATTAGACGAAAAGCAAAAAGGTAAAGATTGTAAAAGTTAAGATGCTATGTTTGTAGTATTACTAGTACATAGTTATAATTTCTAACTATGTTACTATGTAACTAGTAACTCACTATTTTTAAAATAGTGATTTACTAGTAGCTCAACTAGTCTAGTTAGTCTAGAGTTACTAGTGAGTCACTATTTTACTCACATTAAATGTGAGTAAAATAATTTTACTCGCATTTAATGTGAGTAAAATGGTGAGTTGAAATAGACTCGCAATACAGTAATGTGACATTACTGTATTGCGTATATATAATGTATATACATATATATATATGTAAATCGTAACCTATATATGTATATACATTATATATGCATATATATAATGTATATACATATATAGGTTATGATTTATAGGTTATATAATACATAGCTTATATATTATAAGTAATTTATATGATGTATAGTATATAGTAATTTATATTATGTATAGTATTACTATAAAGTTCTTATGTTATATTGTATAAATTACTTATAGCATAAAAGCTATACAACTTATAATATACATTATTATAAAATGCATTACTTATAGTTTTATTTATCACGATACTGTATTGTGGGTAATTATAATGAAAAGTCCTTTGATATGTCTTTGCAAATGGCGGACACATGTTTTAAATGGTAGAAGATAAAAAATAAAGAAAACTTAAATTAAACATTTTTTTCTCTATAACAGGACTTCAAAAAGCTTAATTATCTTGATACTTTGCATAATTTTATTTTTTTACTTCTAATTTGGATTCCATTTCTTAAAAATGTGTTATGAAACCGCAAACACGAAACCAATATTTAAAAATATTTTCTGATAACGCTTCATTTATTTACCTGGTTATTTTCCTGGTATGGCCATACCATTATTGCTAAAGCAATCCAGTTTTGACCAATTGAGCTATGTAGGCGTTAGTCCAAAAAGAAGCCAATCTTTGTTGTTTGTAACCTATTTAGTTTTGACTTGAAACAATTTAGGGAAGTGACTGTTACAGTATTGTTATTAAGTAAGTTCCAGCGGTTGACTACACGTTCCGATAAAATATATTGACTGACCACAGTTGTAAATCTATGCTTAATGAGTGTAAGTGGGTGACCTCTTTCTTTTATTCTTTTGTTTGTGGCTAATTCAAAAAAAAATTTATATGAAATTTAGTAGACAACTCATTCAGCTGCTTGTATACTTCTATTAAGTCTGATCTAGTTCTTCTTTCCTCAAGTGTCCATACACCTAATTTAAGTATTCTGTCTGCATAAGATCGATGTTGCACTTCATCATATTACTCTTATCTTATCTTGCATTATTATTTTACTAAAATGTTGTATTTTTTCAATTAGTTCTTTATCTTTGATATAAAAAGGTGACCAAACAGATGTACAATATTCTATGTGTGGAGGAACTAATGATTTATATAGTTATAACATAATGTTAGATTGTTTATAGGCAATGGTGTGATTTATCATTCCCATAATTTTGTTTGCATTTTCAAAAGCCCCCATGCACTGGTTAGATGCTTTCAAATTATGTGATATCACAACCCCAAGGTTTCAGTCTCAATTTCTTCTAAAATAACCCCATTTATACTGTATTCATAACCATGTTCTTTTTGATATGATATGAAATGAAAGTGAAATGAAAATGAAAAAGTCAATCGACCAATAACAATAAAGAAATCTTAATTTTGACTTCCTTTAATTTTCACCTCACTATTTTATTAAAAGATAAATATCATATTCAGTAACCCAACAGTTTTGAAACTCAAATTATAAGTTTATATAATGCTTTTAAATTTTTTTTTTTTTTTGCGGAGCAAAAAATTATTGAAGGATTTCTAAAAAAGTCTAGCATAATTTCATATTAATAATGAAACTTTTTTATCTTTCAGTTCAGTGACACAACCTAATTTTTTGCATATGTGTATGTGTTTTTTGCATATGTGTAATCTATTTGTTTGAAAAAGAGCACTTGAATTATTTTTAAAATCTAAAAGTTTTTTATTCAAATCATATATTTAATCTAGAAGGACTTTTTTAAATGAAAAAACAGATATATATTTTTAAAAATGTTTGAATTACCTGTCTTTAAATTTTATTCGCTTTTTCAAATAGTATAAAGAGAAAACAACTGCTTACTTTTGTCACATTTAACTTCTTTGTACAAATATTTTTGACTCGTAATTTAATTAATAAGAGACTTCATTGTTTTTAAACTATAGTTAAAGAAAAAAAGTTTTAAAAAACAAAGTTTTTTAAAATCAAATTTGCCTCTTCCATCCTGGAAATAGCCATATAGATAACACTTAGATATATTTTACAGTGCCACTGTATAATAGATTCCAAATATAGTATACTTAGTGACAAAACATATAGAATATATATTAATAACAATGTTAGTAATCAAATATGTAGTATACATATAACCATTTTTTAGAAATTTAATTACCTAGGTCACATAATTAAAAATAATTTAACTGATAATGCTGATATAAATAGTTATATTTAATGTCTATTTACACGTACAATTATTCTTAACAGACTATTTAAAAGATGCTCAGTAAAGTTAAAAATACAGTTGTTTAAGGCGTACTGCCTCTTTATGATGCATTTTTGTGGCTTAACTTTAGTGTAAGTACTTTTTCAAATCTACAATCTTGTTACAAGAAATGTGTTAAAATATTTTTTAGCTATGACAAGTACTCAAGTTATAAAAATATGTTTACGCTGCTCTTGATACTTAACTGCTTAACTGCTGACATTTTAAAAATCAGCTTGTCGCCTGCACCAGTAATTTTAATGCTAATAATAACGCCAGTAATAATAATTGTTAACTGATTGTTGTTGTTGTTGTTTATTTGTATTTTTTTTACTATAAGCCTTGTATTGTACTTGTTGTCTGAAATAAATGAGTTATTGTATAATTATTTTTGAAATTTATCATAGCATGATTATTACCATAATTTATTACATGCTATGTAAAATTGACTATGTAACAAGCATGTTCAAATATATTATAATACACAAAAAGTCATGCTTATGTTATTGGAACCAGTTAATTTTTTATACTTGTAGGTTTAGAATGGAGGATAATAAACTGCTTCGCAAGACAAAGAAGGACTTATGGTTAGAAGTGGTTTTTAGCAAGGCGCAAAGAAAACAAATTGTTAATTCGTGTCATAGCGAACCTACTGCTGGACATCTTGGTAGAACACGAACTTTCTACAAGGTTGCAGAACGATTTTACTGGCCAGGAATTTTCAAAGATGTAGAAAATGCTGTATGTTTGTTACATTTATATATATATATATATATATATATATATATATATATATATATATATATATATATATATATATATATATATATATATATATATATATATATATATATTATATATATATTTTATATATATATATATATATATATATATATATATATATATATATATATATATATATATATATATATATATATATATATAATATATATATATTTATATAAAATATATATATATATATATATATATAAATGTAACAAACATACAGCATTTTCTACATCTTTGAAAATTCAATATATATGTATATATATATATATATATATATATATATATATATATATATATATATATATATATATATATATATATATATATATATATATATATATATATGTATATATATATATATGTATATATATATATATATATATATATATATATATATATATATATATATATACATATATATATATATATATATATATATATATATATACAACACTCTTGAATATTTCTCGGGTCCCTAATATTTTCAGAAAAATAGTTTCTTTTAAGTAGGTCATGTTTGGTCTTAAATGAAGCAAAATTTTATTAAAAAATTTTAAAATAATAATTGTTTTATAAAATAAAATGTTTCTTCAGATTTTTTTTGCCATAGATATGGCAAATAAGAAAAAAGTGGAAATGTTTTTGTCATTTTTGTTGCAGAAAAATCTAAAGTAATGTTTTTTTTATAAAATAATGATTATTTTAAAATTTTGTTATAAAATTTCGCTTCATTTAAGACTAAACATTAACAACTTTTATAAAACTACCTTTTTGAATATTTTAGGTACCCGTTGGATATTTAAGTGTGTTGTGGGACCTCTAAAAATATATATAATAATTAATATATAAAACACAATAAAGTGTCAGACAAAATCAAAATAAATTTAAATTGTTGTTTTGTGATGCACCCTAATATATATATATATATATATATATATATATATATATATATATATATATATATATATATATATATATATATATATATATATATATATATATATATATATATATATATATATATATATATATATATATATATATATATATATATATATATATATATATATATATCAGGGTTTAATTTAATTTTTTATTAGGTACCGGACATAATGTCAGACAAATTTAATTTAGTCGGACAATGTCCGATCAAATTTTTTATGATGAGCAATGAATAAGCAAATTTTTATGATGAGCATGAAAGGGCAAATTTTTTTTTAAATTGCATATTCTGGCTTTTATTAAAGCCTTTAAAACGTTACAATCAGGCTTGTGGAGCCGAGCTGAGACAAAGCCACAGC